GTATTGTGACTAAACCAGTCTGCCACAAAACGAATGATTCGTTCCCTACGACCTGAGTTTTTAGAACGGACGATGTAAATGTAAATGTCTTTTTACTTCATATAAGTTGTAATTTTGAGAACACAGCGATGTCGGTACAGGTGGAAATAAGCCGACGTTTCGGTTACCGTGGGTAACCTTTATCAAGGCTATTTTACAATCGAAACCAAAACGTCGGCTTATTCTCATCTGTACCGACATCGCTGTGTTCTCAAAATTACAACTTATATAAAACATATCACATGGCGCATCGATTTTTCGATACGCTCCGAACGTCGTTTGGATCTGACACTGTATTTTTACTTCCTTTTTCTGTTTAGTGAATATACAGATGTGCAGTCAACTTTCAGGAAGGGGGCTGCGGCCATACAACGGTTACCTGGGAAAAATACAGAAATAGAGAAGATGGGAGGCGGTGGAGCGGCTCGAACCCGGGACTTCCGGGTCATAAGTTGGTAACCATTTGGCCACTACCGTTCAGTGAGAAATGATTGAATGTGAGTGTGTGCTCATGTGTGGTTAGTTATACAGCTGGCTTAATGACTACGTGGACCGTGTGTTGCGAGGCTCCAACTCTTGTTGTATCAATAGCAGGTACCAGATAGGATGAACAATCGAATCCGATGGATATTCACTACAACGACGCGAAAACTCCAAATCACAATTTTTTTCGATTTTATTGTCTGGCCTTTTGGGTACGTGTCTGTCTGTCAGGTTGTTCGCTTTGGTTGTGCCCACGTCCTGAAAGTTTTATTTACCCCACCGAATTCTACCTCAATGTGACTGACGACTTGAAGTGGGAACCAGGGGGTTAGATACAATCCATTTGAATTTTGTTTCCTGGTTCTCTTGAGCTTAACCCACACACACACACACACACACACACACACACACACACACACATCCGTTCGTATGTGCTCAGGTCTAGAACACCCGTAAACTATTGTTGTTCTGTTCACCAAGCGCTCCATAGACAAATTTATTTCTGGTTGTACTTTTTCTCCTCCCTCAACCCTCTCGGTCTCCGTTTTTCCGGACACTGTAGTTACTTACCGACCTATCAATCAATCAATCAATCAATCAGACGTTAGTGTTTGAAAACCTGTCCGTCAAACTAAACGTGTGGGCATCCATATATGTCTATTATCCCCCTGTGCGAGGATTTGCGAACGACAACCAGTCTCGAGTGGTCGTTCTCACGGTCTGTGCTTTTCCAGAACACGGGTTCGACACAAACCACCCGCATGTAACACACATCCGTGCAGCTGGTGTTCCGTCGTAACTAACACAGAGTTGAGTGGCTCAACATGACCAACCTGTGTATCGAAGCCGTATAAAAGAAACTTGACCAGTTTTGGACCTTGTTGGTAGTGGGCGGCGCTGAGGAGTTTCTCTGAGTCTCCGTACTCCTTCGCTTAATGCATGCGTTTTCCTTCATTTTGAGATAAAACCTCGTGCAATCGAGATAATGAAGTCAGGGAACCGTTCTCTGGGGCTGCGGTTTTACCCACCGGATGAACATAGAGATATATCACTTATTATATTACCTATTTTTGGTCTGTAGTTCAGTTAGTCGCTAATATTTGATATTCTGCTAGAATTAGTCCAGTGTTTAGAGACCGCAACAGCCTGACAGATGTCAGTGTTGATAAATTCAAATTGTTGTACTTAAACACAATCAATAAAGATTGCAACTTTTGTGTGACAGTGGTTGGATTCGAATCTAGGTAAAGTTGGCCTGTATCATTCAAACCTAGTTACTCACGAATAAATCAAATGTAATGCTATTTTGTAGAATGAACTTTTGCTTACCATATCTGTTTGCTAGTAGTTTGTATTGTTGAATACATGGTGTTGATCATTTTATCTACACACCCAACATAGCACATCCCATCTCTTCGATGGTATTGTGGGCATCTCATCCAGCACTAGTCTTTTGGGTTGTGACTCAGCTGGAAACACTCCGAGCATGACCACTTGGTTAATGAGAGTAGGGCAGGATCCGATTCGATTATCTGGCAAATTTCGTAAACAGTAAACCAAGACTGAGATGAAAAGCTAGCAGGCATTGGGCGGTTGTTTCAACCCAACTGAGTCTCATCACATTGAAGCGAGTATATCGATCCGACACAGGAAGCATGTAAAGATAGTTGTACCGTGTTGTATAGAGAACAGACTCAAATCCTTCTAATCATGTACCCGCTGGTCAAGTGTGTGGGCTTGCGTTCTACCTGTAAAGTCCGTGGTTCGATGCTCGATGTTCGGGCGATGGATTTGGAGTGCTAAGGTGCAACAGTTTTCCCCAGCTTTTGTGTTCACGCTTCACTTGTTCTGTGCACCACCTAATCGATTTCTTTTTAGTACACACCTCAGTGTGGTAAACAGCAGACGGGGCGAATCCAAGTAGTCACGAGGACCTATACTGTTCAGTGATGGAAACCGGCAACCTAAGTCCCGGGACTTGGAGTGGCGAACCACATAAGACCCTGTTAGGTTAGGCGTGGTATAGAACGACAGTTGGGTGGCAGTGACGGGGCTTGAACCTCGGACCTCAGGGTCCGAAAGACGCCGGTAACAGCGATTAAATCACTGGGCCACCGCCACAATAATTTCACTTCTTCTTAACTTTTGAATACAAAGGCGTACAGACGTGTTCCGTGAGAAAGGAAAAGAAAACGAACCTATGGTACAATCAGTCCAGAACACCCAGTCTAATTGCTCTTACAAGCAATCTAACCGGAGGAGAGATGATAGTATCCACTATATCCAGTCAATCACACATTCAGAAAACAGGAGACTGGAGTTGTACTCTTATTAGAGCCCACTGACCAACCTAAAGTTTTGACTCCTTACCCCTTGAATGACAGGCGTGTTCCACTACCGTAACTACTAACTGGCACGTACCCGGGAGATAAACAGAATTCCCGATTACACTCTGTTCATATATCGTCTTCAGAGTTGTCGCAGCAGTTGTTAACCCGAGAGTAAGAAAAGGAGGAGACAATCACAATCGAAATAATCCAAAGGTTTTTTAAATAATGAATCTTCGTACGTGTTAGTGCAAGTCAAAGACCACCTTCCGGAGAGATATAAGTTCTCTCCTGGTCGTTCGATTTATCTATGTTGACTGTAACAAAAGCTGACTTAAAAGATGGATTCCGGTTGTTTGTGTCAGCACACCACGTGACCTTGGTTGCTCCACTCCCTTCCAGAATCAGTACACGTTTCAGTTAATCTGATCAGTGTTCGTTTCTTTTTTCTTGTTGTGTTCGGAGTACACTAGTCTGTGATGTTTGTGGTCGTTTTCATACTGTGTGATTCGTTCCCCTCACAAGTTAATGTGATTTTATTTTATTCCGAACTGCAATTGTCCGATAATCGATTGTAACAACGATATGGTTTGTAATTTCAGTGGTTGGACTTCCACAACTTGGGGACGCTCAGTTCAGTTCAGCTCGCACAATACGTTGTGAGGCCCGGACTAATCATGCGTCCAGATAGTTGTGTTGTCGGTTGATCTTATGGCTCCTAACAGTTGGAGTAGAAAGGTTTTTATTCTGAAAGGCAAAATATGAGGTGCTTTTTAACTTCTTAGATGGGAGAGATCATAACGAATAGATACATACTCTGAAATTGTTCCGGGGAATAAAGAAGCTTAGCAATCATCTAATGCCGTCATCAAGGCTATGATTTTTGAGATTCCTACAATCTGTTCCAATATTAGTACCACGCGACTTGTGAACAACTTGGCATTTATATCCGATCTTACAAGACTAAGCTACAGCTTCAAACTGTAACCCCTTGGCGGAGGGATGCTTTGCAATATATCTCCGAACTTGATTCCGAAGTGATCGTTCATTATCCGAAAATCTTCGACCAGCCCCCCCCTCCCCCCCCCCGGATTCGAGCTATAGTCTTTCGAACTTGCCCACACAATGGTAGAAGAGTCTGCATGTCTAGACGAACGAGGATAGCAAAACCAACCGTGCTTCACCGGTTCTCTCTCGCGCTCACCCGATATCATGACCACATGCAGCCGTATTTAAGATTATTTGTACTTTTCCAATCGTGATATCGATCAACAAAGCAAAAGTTCCGATTGACAATCTTGAGTTGACAACCTTAAATGACCTACTATAGATTTTATTTGCCATTTCTGTGGTAGAAATCCAGTCTAGGAATCAGTTTTCAACTTGTTCGATTAATTTTTTTCAGTAAACACGAGGCCGGAGTCCGAACAGGCCAGCTCTGTTTGGGTAACGAAACATTGATTTACACATTAGGAGATAGGCCTGAATCAAAATAATATCCGTGATTGAGCGAACTAGAAATTTTAACTTACCGGTTATCGAGCAACACGGTGAACGCCAACTGCATTGCCGCTCATTAACGTACCGACCGCTTTGCTAACCAATTTTAAGTTTAATCTGCGCAGCTTGTGCGTGAGAGAGTGTGTGTTTAGTGGAACGAGATTGTAACTATCCAAGGTAAAACAACGTAGCCAACCCCTTGAGCAAATAACCTAATTGTACACAGATGCCTTTTTTGAAAGTCTAAGCTGCTAAACCATAACTGTAAAATGTTGCTGGAGTCTGTTTAGCTGCAGAATGTTTCCAACCCTAATATGTGACATCAGACCCAAACTCTCCGCGCAGTTGTGTCAGTCTTTTCCGGTTTTTGAAACAACATCAATCATTTACGGGTTTTTTTGAGGAAATAAGCTTGTCTTAGCCACGACGAACGAAAAAACAAAACAAAACACAAGGGGGCCTTTCACAAGTCGCTTGATTGGTCAATATCACGTTACAAGCAGTTGTTTGAGAAAAGCAGTCCGAGAGAGGATCGAACCGTTGTCATCAAAGCCTTGAGTTTTGTTTTCGTTCACTGTGGCTAAGACAAACTAATTTCCTCACTAATCATGAACACGATACCCAAGATTTTCAGTGAGATCCGTTCAATTCATGGATGTCGTGTGATTAATATTTACGGGTATTTTTTCTGAAAGAGTTTTCCAGAATGATTTAGGTGGTTCAGCGATTAAAGTCATCAAAATAACGATCTGAGGATCCTAATGTGTTGGAACCTCATCATCATCATCACCGCCGTCCATGTTTCTGAGTTCTGAATTTTCTCAACGAGCGTCGCGCCCGCCCCACCCCGCCCGCCAACCGCCTTCTTCCTGAAATCAGACTGTACATTTGTATACTGAATAAAAAAGAGAATGTTAACAGTTGTTATTTTTCAATTATTTTTGTCACAGAAAGGTTATCAAAGAAAGATGTGACATGGTGAGCTGAGAAACATTTAAGTGGGACATCCCAAGCAGTGCCAATTTCACCGCATAGGCTAGTCACAATGTGATTTCTCGTATTGCTCGTCATTTTCTTTGCTTGATAACCCATCGGATAACCGACCCGACCCCCCGACCCGACCCCCTGGCCATCTTCAGTATCGGTACTCCTCAGCCTAAGCGACTATGGAATAATGGAAATGCATCTGGCGGGGATGGAGGATGCCGCCAAATGTACACAATCAAATTAACAGCACTATTTTCGGGGTGTGCAATTAATAAGCAATTTTATTGACAGACAAAACACAAGCGGCATAGCAACTATGATCTCGTCCCCTTGCTACAGGCAGCACCGTGCGTTTACATTCCGGTGTCCTATGTCACGGAGCCGCACACACACACACACAATGAGAATGCACACATTCACTCCAAATATCTACCAACCTCGTTCACCCACCCTTGGCGTAATCAATTGAATCCGCCCCGGACGTCGCTGCCACCACCACCACTACCAGACATTTGTGTGTGTTTGTTTAGAACGAGAGTGAAATCCGCAAAATCACTTGCGAACATGACGACTAAAGTCTGTCTATATAGATGTGCGTTTGTTTTGTCGGAGCTGGGTGGTGTGGAACCGAAGGAGTGTCAGCAAACCGTTTCTATACCCTAATCTGTCAATCAAACCCCGATACAATTCGAATCGGTTCGGGTTCCGTGTACAGCCCAGCGCAGCATAGCGCGGCTCGGGGCGGTCCGACGCAGTTCAGACAAAGCGGTAGTTCACATACCGCCCCTCTTTGTGTGCTACAGGAACGTGATCCCCAAGTCCGTTCGGCGTAGAGTACGAAGCACGAAAATAGGCTTGGCTGGGTTGCTGTATAAGTCGTTCGGTATTCATTTTAATGTGTCCGCGGCAGTGTGTGTGGGTACAACTTGTTTACGTACCAATCCATTCACTTTGGTCGAACGGGTTAAGACAGACAGAGAGAACGAGCATAGCAACCGGTGATTGAACTACGGTTGCTGCGCGATTGACCGCACCCGATAATGATGATGGCGCTGATGAGAATGATGTTTTAAAAATTATTTGAATCCTTCGGCCAGTTCAATAATGACTGGAATGTTGTCACTTATGCTCCAAAAATCTCACTCAATCAGTTGAGTCTGGCGACTCAAATTTCTGCCACATCAATTCCACCGTGAAGTTGCTTAATTGCCTCGAAAAATATCAGCCCATGAATTCCACGAAATATCGTGCATTATAATTAACTCCACCGCAACTTTTTCGTTTGCAGCATTCAGTGAGTCGACCACTTCCACCCATTCCGATCACGGATGCGATCTCGGTTCCTCCGATCGTACGAGCCAATCCGATCCGTTTTCATCGTGTCTCATTGCCTCCACCACCGAGAGAATCACCTCCGCCACCGCTATCTCCTCCGCTTAGTCCGATCATACGACCGCCATCGTTTCACCAAGGCATACTCCCCCTGATACGAGCTGGTTCCGAAGGCCCTCGGTCACCTCAACCTTCACGAATCACTTCCAGACCGCGGGTACCGCGGATGGGTACAAGTGTTACCCCGACACAATCACCCAGCCTAGTAACAAATGCGCTGGGATCAAAGACGGAATTTGTGCCAACCGTCCGTTTAAGTGAGCTTTCTATCACGATTTTTATGCAGTCATTCAATTCTCAGCCTCGAATTCTTCCCGGTCAACACTACAGTGTTTTAGGGTAATGAATGTTTATGTATTTTGAAGGTTGTTCTACTTAGTCCAAACAGTGATTGGCAATATGAGACGATATTGATGAGTATCTCAGAGTTATCTTTTATAAGCTATTGGATTCAAACGTTACATAGCTTGAGTCGGATGCGCCCTTTGCCTAAAGCCAGATTGGAGTTTGTGAACGAGTTTTAACGATCTGTAAGTGGATTTGTTCAGTTTGTCTAACTTCTTTTCGGTTCTCTCTCATCTATTGTTGTTCATTAAAAAATCAGTTTGAATCAAATCTCACAGGAATAACAATTCTGCACGTCGCTCGGATCATGACGTTTACAGTCGAACTTTTTGTCCCGGTTTTCCTCCAACAAGGTTTCAAATCTTTGATATAGTGATAGAGTAAAACACCCTACCTCAGTTGGTAATATAAATCAAAACATCACATCTTTGTTCTCCCATCTGCATTGTGTTCGAACGTTCTAGATTCCCTACAATTGTCTATGCAGTCAAACGCACAAATGGAAAAAATACCACCCAAATCTCCCCACGCTCATGTATTGCCAGGGGCTAGATCTGTCTCGGGCCCGTCACCAATCCAGTCACTTCTCTCATCCGCTCGGGTAACCTCTAACACCGTATCATCTGATCTACGACGCATATTTCGTCGTCCCTCGTATCGGCCTGACAGTGCAATCGACAAGCGGATGGAGACAGTCAATCCTGGCCGTCTGACACCAATTTCCGAGAGAACGAACACATCCTCTCCGTCGACCAAGCAATCCTATTTCAGCGATTACTCGCTGTCTGACTCGGAATTATCCGACGCGACGGAGACAACAAATCTCAGTCTTACTTGGCCCCTGTCTCGATCGCAAACTGATCTGTCTAACAAACTATATCGACCGTATGCGAAAATCAATAATTTGGAATCTACCGGTGAGTCAAAACAGGACGTTCCGCGGATGGATCCACCAAGATCGTCCGAGACCCGGTCACCTGCAGTGCCCGTGCCACTGGAGTCAACTGACCAAATGATGCTACCGCCCAATGAAGTGGCCGAGTTGAGACAGTGGATGACTGAAATCGATCAGGATGAGATTATGCGACGATTCAAACGAATGCGTATGGTCACGATGACTGCCCGACGGTGGACTATCAAAAGACGTCCGGATGGAACAAGATATTTAGCCTATCGTCGATCACATGGAAGTCGGTAAGTGGTCCAGTTCATAAACTTAACTCATAACTCACTTTCGGTACAACCAGAGAATACTCTCTTTAACCAAACTGAATGAATCAAGAGGTTAGAATTCTTTTGGGAGGTATTTATATTACGAATCAACACGTATCCTGCTTATACTTTTTGAATTCTTCGGGTTGTATAGAGGCATCAATAGTGGGTAAAATTCTAACCTTTAGGTTACCACACTTCACTATGCAAACTATACCTATTGCAATCCAATTTGTCTCATCATCATTTCAAGAGGTCTGGTCTGATCATGATTTCAAGTTATATTATGGGCGCTGACAAGCCTCCCAGCGATTTCCGGGATGAGCACCATGTGGTACAGATTGCTCTACCTCGCGTTAACACGCTAGTGGGAGGGGCGCAGAGGAGGGGATCGTCAGACGTGCCTCGGTTATACACACACACACACACACACACACACACACACCTCGATTCCCAAGACGTACATTTCGGTTATTTATCTTGCAAGTACGCGCACGCGTCTGTTTTTTTATTATTTTAAAGTTTATCCCACTCCGCTGATACGAGTGAATCATGCGCGATCAACGTTTGAATCATTGCTTATCTCCGTAGCGTAGTGCTGCAATAGAATTCATAAGCTACATCTCAATCATTTGCACTCGGAACACCAATCGATCATGCTCGATCATTATACGCATCAGTGTTGTTGACCAGATTCACATCCAGTTTGTTCGACACTTTCAGGTTATATTCCATCTCTGTGACACCACCACAGAAGCACCTTCAAATACCGAACAATGCAATTTACCATTTAGGCCATAGTTTCGGAACGGAATGAGACATCTCTATCAAACCAACTGCAATAGAAATAATATAATAAGGGCTGTTGAAATATGTCAAATTTCATAACAGCTACGGAATTTTAGAAATACAATTTACAATTTACAAATATAATTTTAAAAAGTGGAATGTTTTCATAAATGAACTTTTCTGAGTATGGACTCCGAATTGGAAAATCTGTAACCCTGAAATCATATGATCCCACTTAATTACTTCGATCACACAAAGTAAGTCGGGTGGATTAAGGTTAGTAGTAAGTAAATGCAAACTGTCTTCGAACAATCCTATTGTCATTGTCCCATTTCTCGATTAAGTTCAGTTCACTATGGGAACATCATCGTGGTCATTCTTCTAATAGTGATTACCGAAGCCACCACCAATCAGAAAATGTGAAAATGTTTAGTACGTTAGTATGTTTTAGGAGATCAGAACACGTTTCGGTTATCATAGCTGAACCATAACGCAGTGTTTTAGGTTTCTTGCAATCAACCCAGGGGAAACACTGGAGGTACAGTATCAGTTGATGTAAATCTTACATTGGTCTACAAAGGATGAAGCAATCTATGCCCCTAACATGATACTATCCCAAAATAATTCAAAATCGCGGTTTGAACAAACGTCACTAACTTTGTTTCTTGTGAATCCCATTGGTTTGGTGTGATGGACGAATGGGTTGTGGAAAATGCGAACACCACGAAATGAGTATCCAGTCACATGCTGCTTCTTTTTTTGTTCACGAACGACAATAATGTGTTACAATCACACTAGAATTTGGTTGAACTCGTTTCTTTTGAATAAGAATTGATTAAGGTAACAAAATCACAATGGAAAATAAACTGAACTCGCATTTGTCAATTCACTCTGAAAGAAACGAAATCAAATAATATAATAATAAAATAAATAAATAAATAAAATAATAATAATATAATATAATAATAATATCTGGTGCACAAACTAAACTATTTTTTCCTGTTCTCAGATCGCTTAAAATTAACAATCAAAAGAGTGCAGAACTATACCCCATCCCCGGAGGGGGAGAAATTCCGTGATTTGACTGAAAGTGTACTGCACTCAGCTGGAAGATAGAATGCATTCAGAATAGTTTTTGTCTTACCCGTATCCTCAGATTTGTTTGATGGATGGCCAATCTCATTAATCTACCTGATTGCGTCATCGTTGGTCTCACCAAGCAGCCGTTACCCCGAGGATGTCTCCCCGCTATGCGCACCAATGACACTCGATAGCTAACACATTTGAAGCAAAACGGTTTTGTCGATATGCTTTCCAGTTGATTAAAATCGAGATTCCTTTTGCATCGTGAACTCACCCATGTGTCAGAAAACTCCACCACGGTTAATGTTAAAAAAACTGTTAGGATCGTAAAAACTCTGAACCAATCAAATCCGCACTGTGGATCATCGGTTTCCTCTTGTCACAAAGGTGTTATTGATGCGTTACAGCAATAAAATGAAATGGACACGATGTACCCCAATATTTTCATCTAGACGGGTCCAAAGATCGGGCAATATTCTGCAAACCACAGACACACATGAACGGCCATCAAATTCCCGATGTATCTATGGATAATCGATACGGTTTCAACTCTCCACAGAAGAAATCCTCAAAGACGGAATATCAATAATAGCTTATTCATTTATGGTCACCCTTCCGTGACCCGTATTGATACTATTTTACTGGAATCATTTATCTTTGAGTAGTATCATCACAAGAGGAGATCATTAGGAAAGTTGAGGGATCTGATCAAATTTATGTGTAATTTCAAAAAAGACTAGCAAAGTTGTCTCCTTCTGTTCATACCTGATATGCACATTTCTGGAGTGTTTGCTATCGTCCACCGCTTCACAAACTGGAGTGTTCACCAAATTTTGCAAACCCTTTAAAAACAAAATTGTAGGCAAAAAACAATACATTTTCATTCTTTAGTAGTAAAAAGATTTGCTTACAGGTGAATTTTATTTGACTTTTATCTTCATTCATTGTCATCACTTAAACTAATCATTAATTTGTCATCAAGTATCCCCATAGTCGAGTATCAATCCCACTGCACAACATAAACACCAACCCTTTTATGATTTGAGCCAGAAAGAACCTGCGCATAAAATACGTGTGTCTGTGTTATCTCTATGGTCTAATCCATACATACATTGCTGTGGATTAGGTCTTATCAGAGTGTGAAACTTGAGGTCGGTTCTCTTCGGCTGTACAAATGCTTGGTTGAATGAAATGAGCATTGTACTCCTGTCGATGAAGGCTGATCGATCAAATCAATATTATTACCCAATCCAGAGAATGTGAAGTACACTCCTGATCATGTGGGGAGTATGTATTATGAAGCAACCTTGTTTGATCTGTTCAATCATCAACGTGTTATGTGTACTGTATCTCAATAAATAGCTACATACGTTTTTGAATATATCCATATGCATACAATATATATTTCCTGGTTACAAGTATATGGATGAGCTGAAAAACAATTACCGGATACGCATGCCTGATGAGCGGCAAGAACCGCGAAACCGGTTGTGTACTTCCGGAGAAATTTTATCTGGTCAATCATATACTATCTATTACGAAATGTTCTATAAAAACGCTCTAGTCACGTTTATTGCGGTTAGTAGCATCTAACCCACCTACAAACATCGAATCATAGTATTGCTTCTTCAATGGACTGGTTCTGAAATAGTTGTCTAAGAATCATTCGCTGTTGTAAACAAGGTTATTGTGACGAATATATATATATATATATATATATATATATATATATATATATATATATANATATCGATCAAGCCGTCAGTGCTCAAGCTTAAGATTCGCAACAGATAACGACATGTGGCTGAGCACATCATAGGAAATACAAACCGCATGGATGTGATGCATATCATTCGCAATGATCGAGTTAAAAAGAATGAATCTTTCGGTTCGATACTCTGCAGTACGACAGAAATAGTAAACTAAACTTCTCAGTAATTTACTCAAATACCCGAGAATTGTGTAGCAGAAAGTTAGCAGACTTCATAACAAAGCCTTCATCCATCCGGTTCTAATTTCCGAAAACTGGCTCGAGGAGCTTCTAATCGAGTTCACTACACTAACTGTTTTGTGGCACAATTTGTACGTGATCATTTTTGCGGTTTCTTTTATCAGTTGTCCAGTTCCAGTTGAGGACCGGTTTTTGTGAACAGCTCCCTTCCGCTTTGATATGCAACACTTAATGTGTGACACGCTGCTAAAATGAGCACAGATTAAAACACTTTGTGTGCTCACGCTGCGCCCGCTCCACGTTCTTTCTTTCCTCGTGGCATCCGGGTCCGTAAAGCAAACTGACATTTTCGACCCACGAAATCGGTGCCAGTTCAAGAGGCTTAGCAATGACAACAACACCAACTGCGGTCATCGTTTTATGTTGCCATGCCATGCCCTGTTCTCTCAATCTCGGGTGTTAGCGCCTACCATTTCTATTAATGCCTGTGTGTGTGTGTGTGTGTGACATCGGCGGTAGTTTCCACCCCGGGGGTAGGGGGACAAGCGGAACCCGCGCAACGGATGAGTCCACTCGAATAGTAGCGCCAGTCATAGTACTACTGACCCTGTGTGTTCACAACCAACACAAAGCTGCCAGTCGGATTGACACAAAGATCCCTGAGTCTGGGCTTGCCTCTGTGTGTGTGTGTGTGTCAGTCGTCTCTGTGTGCAGAGCACATCACATATGAGGTCGGCTCGATTCGCAAGTTGTGGTAGTGACTGTCCTGGTGTGTGTATGTGTTACAACATGAGACCGTCTTCCTCTTTGTGTTTGTCTGTCTGTACGATTAGACCGCGAACACCCCGCTGAGAAGCCGAGACGTGTTGACTCATTGGGGTGCGGTGCGGTGCTGTGCTGTGCTGCTCCCCGTTGCTCTGTGTATGCTCAAAAGGTCAAGCACACATTTGGAGCGTGATCCGGGTGGGCGCGATGTCACCGATGTACATTGTAGGACGGCAGATTCGTCTATACACAGAATCCTACCGATGTGCTATCAATGACAATCCTTTTGTACATGACAGAAATACTCCTGACCATGATTACGCTTTCATTCTCCCACCGATGAAAGCGCTGTCTCGGAGCTGTCTCGCAGACCGAATAATCTGAACAGAAATCCTGTTCGAGGTGACAATAGATTGGATAAAATACAAGAAACCGTCCAATTCGTTTCGTATACCATCGATTATGCAGTTCAGCAAAAACCGTTTTGGTTCCCGACTTGAAAGAAAGAACGCGATTCCGGTCCTGCCAAGAACACACGGATAGTGCACGTACAGCTGATGAGCCCCCATCACGGATGAACCACTTGTTCAGTTCTCTTTCCGTGCTAATGATAGAAAAATTTCACCGCAAATAAAATCCACACCAGACCGAAGTTATCTGTGATCTACAGTAAAATATACAACGGAACATTTTTCACTGGCAGTTTGCTCCTTCCAATATGCAGTTTTATTTTACATTCAGCTGATCCACTGCGCGAGACTGTACCTGCGCGTGTGTGTGGTGATAGCCAACGGCCAAACAAACAGCCGCACACACACACACACCCTCGATATGTACATACGAGTAACTTTTCTCCTTATTTTGTGTAAACCCAATGACCGGGGTTGTACCTATTGATACTCTCAATTGTGCAATCGATCTTTCTCACATCCGATGCAGTGCTATTTGTCGGAGGAAAGGCAGAGCGGGAATGTTGTAAAGATTCTCATTGGGTGTCTCGGTTACTCGTACTCACGCACGCACGTACGCACGCACGCACACAAGCTAGTGCAACGGAACAGTGACTATGCACGTGACATAGATATGTGCTGAGTTATTTTATTCGGTTCAGAGGGTTCTTCGCCTTCAATATGGTTCTTTATGACATGGCAACTTTGGGCAGGATGAATTGCAGTGACCGGTTCTTAGCTGCCCAGTCTAATTCACGTTTGCTGATTCTCTTCCACGATGGTGACTCGGTGGCAAATTATCACCCCGGTGATTTGTGTTCGAATCCCCCACCATCAACGCCTAACTTTCTTCACTGGGTTGAATGGCAGCCCTTTGATTGATCGGTTTCCCCTTCCAGCAAAATTGTATCTTTGTACAGTACTGGCCGATTCTGATGCACTAACATATTTTCATTGTGATCAAATGGAGTTTCATCATATTTATATTCAATAAAAGGAAATAAAATGAAAAGGAAAAGAAAAGATACCTTGTCATATTATCCTCATGTGTTGACCAAGTTATCTGGAAATTTTTAAACGTTATTGACAGAAAAATGTTCGCCAATTTATCATGTTACAAAATAGTAGCATAAATTAAATCGATGAATCAATTTCAGAAAAAATGCCAACTGCAATGAAGTGCCTTTAATAACTCTATGTTTTCAAATTATTCATCATTTCTCACACCCCGTCCAGCGGGATTCAGTATATTGTACATTCATGATAGTCACGTTTAAATGCATGCATTGCATTCAAGACGGAATCATTATTGTATAAACCTCGAATTTTCTGGAAATTAGGAAGGTCACTAGTGTGAACTGTTGATTGTAATTATTATTCCCATCTTTTATTGTTCTTCGCAGATGCCGCCATCATAGCAATGAACCAACAAGTGAAGTTGTGAATACTCAGACAGACGAACTCGGCTGCTCGGGTCGTTCAAACAAACTATCAATTGATACACCGGATAACTGGACTAAACCAAAATCCGAATCATCACCGCCACCACCACCATCAGCATTACAAATATATGCAGGATCATCACCAGGTGAATCCACTGTCCCCGAACACGAAAACAGACGAAGGCGTCCTAGATCCCACCGATCTGGTCAATGTCCTAGTCAGCCTTCCACTACTTCTCCCAACTCCGCTAGTCGACCCGAATCGTTTCCTCCGTCGGCTACGCTACATGGAAGATCCGCCCATCGGTCCAGTCCGCGTGATGAAATCCAACGTCGTGTTTCGGTTAGTCGCTCCACACGTCCCGCAGATAACACGTCCACGAATATGCATACCGCATCGGTGAACAGCACCTCGCGATCAACACATCGTCGTGGACGGCACCGTGTCCGACGAGTGGACGGATTTCATGAGATTAGTGCCAGGGTAGGACGAAATGCTAGTTGCCGTCTTCATCGTGCACCAGATACACGTCCGGAGACGGTGCTGACAGGCGAACGGACTTACGTGTACTATTTGACCACGCATCCTGGTGGCGGTGGTGCCAGCACGCGGTCACATGAGCGTGTACGTGATTTGAGCTTTTCTCCTCTCTATCCGCTATCCTCTCGTTCACGTGCTGACAGCGCGGATTCTGACAGTACCAAACTGATCACCATGCTTGTGGTTTGACTTCGTTCCGGGTTGGAGTGTTTTGTTGCCCTTCTCCAACATTCCAACTCTCACGTGGTCCAATATGCAGTTTTATTTTACATTCAGCTGATCCACTGCGCGAGACTGTACCTGCGCGTGTGTGTGGTGATAGCCAACGGCCAAACAAACAGCCGCACACACACACACACCCTCGATATGTACATACGAGTAACTTTTCTCCTTATTTTGTGTAAACCCAATGACCGGGGTTGTACCTATTGATACTCTCAATTGTGCAATCGATCTTTCTCACATCCGATGCAGTGCTATTTGTCGGAGGAAAGGCAGAGCGGGAATGTTGTAAAGATTCTCATTGGGTGTCTCGGTTACTCGTACTCACGCACGCACGTACGCACGCACGCACACAAGCTAGTGCAACGGAACAGTGACTATGCACGTGACATAGATATGTGCTGAGTTATTTTATTCGGTTCAGAGGGTTCAGAAGTTACATTGGTAGCATAGGCATTTTGTAAACCTCATCTCCACCCCAGTTCCATTATGCTGCAATTTCTCCGCACTCGATAAAAGTAGGATCTCATACGTGAATTCGTTGTGCCTATGGCAAATGAAGCGTGAACTGAAAATCTAGGAAGCACTGGACAGCGGTTTCGACCTGATTGGGTCTCATCCGTGCCGTGTGAATCCATCGACCTAACCGGGGATCGAACCTGGGACCTAATGGTTCAGAACGCAAGCGTGCTACCCACTCGGCCACCTGGCAGCTGATCATACCCGCAACACGCTTGCAGGAATGGATTGTGCTATATCGTGTGAGTGGAAAATGAAAAAAGGGTCTGATCAGCTACCTGATGGACGAGTGGGTAGTATGATCGCGTTCTGCCCTTTAGGTTCCGGGTCCAAACCCCAGTTGGGTCGATGCATTCGCACTGTTGATGAGACCGAACCACGTTGAAACAGCTGCCCAGTGTTTCTTATCTTTTCAGTTCACGCTTCATTTGCTATATACACGCTGAATTCACTTTTAAAATTGAATCAAATTCGCCATTACTTACTTGAAACCAGTAGGATCATGAAGCTTTATGCCTGTGTATGTGTGTGTGTGTGTGTGTGTGTGTGCATGCGTGTGTTTCTTGCCCCGTCACTAAATTCGGGTCGTATATTGATCTGGCGATATTTATTTTATCTCGGATACTGTGAACGAGAGAATCGAAATGTGTTTAATGAGTCTCTTAACCAGATGACTCGAAAATCGGGTGATGATCAATTGAAATAATCTTTATTGATCGAAGTTGGGGAATATTCAGGCCTATCCAGAATCGGATTCTGGATTGATTTAATTCCGAAATCAATCATTGAGGCTACGGGGTCTAAATTTGTTGATGACAGAAAATTCTTCCGTTCAAATAGATTTGGATAATCAGGAATTTTTTATGTAATACACACAAAGTGATTTACAGCAAAAGGGGTAAACCCCATACTCAATGATATACGGTGAGGTAAGGCGTGTGGGGAAACATTCAAGTAAGAATCAATTTGTTAATCCTGCTTTTGAAAAGGGTAGGGTTACACGACCTTGGAAACACGGAACTGGAAGAGTGTTCTGCATTTTCGCAGTCCTCATAACCAAAGAAGATCGAAAGATAGAATTCTGGCATCTGGAGACAGAAACTTGATAAGGGTGACTGCTCGCCCGAAAACAAGATGGACGAGAAAAGGTCAATAGAAGGGAAACCGCTGAAGCGAGTTCGGAAGAGCAGAAACCAAAAGTGACAGAAAAGAGATAACGAAGCAACTGCCCGGCGGTGGGAAGTTAAAGACGGTTTGTCAATCAGCCGGTTGAACACGGTCGAGGAGAGAAAGAGTGGAATACGAAGGGGATCAACATAGAGAAGAATCTATGAATACACGCAGGAGTGCGTGAGAGCATTTGTGGAACGGATAGTCGGCGAGTCAAAAGTCAATTAAGGAGAAAAACGGATATGTTTGAAAGAGACTTAAAGTAGATAAGTTTTGGAACCATATTTGGTAGAACCTCATGCAGAGATTAGTCGGAGATCGGAGGCAAGAGAAGCACTGATGGAATTATGATCGTGATCGATAATAGTAGTATCTGGATGGGGTGTGGGATAAGAAAGAGAACAATGAAGAGTGGCATCACCGGCAAAACAGTGGATGGGATTAGAGGTTTTGGATAAAAGATTGTTGATAATTAAAACAAAGAGGCCAGGAGAAAGTATCATACCATGGGAAACACCGGAGTTCACAGGAAATGGCCGAGATAGGACCTGGTCTACTCGAACGGAGTTGGTTCGCTTGCTGAAGAAACATTGGACCCACCATACTTTAGACGGGTGGAATCCGAACGTGGGTAATTCCGTCAGTAGACCGTAAATCTAAACGCGATTCAAAGCCTTTTTGAGTGTCGAGCGAGACCATATGTGTTTCTCCGTGGTTATCGAGTACAGTCGACGAGGAATGTGATGTGAGCGCCAGTAGGTCACTCGTAGATTGACGAGGGCAAAATCTATACTGACGGTCATTCAACAAACCTTCGTGTTCGAGAAACCTACGCAGCTGCTCGGAAACAATGGTTTAAAACACGTACGAAATTATAGATGTGAGAGTAATTGGACGGTAGTTATTTGGGGTTGGAAGGGTCACCGCGCTTTGGGATTAGAAAAAGGTTGAAGATCGAGTGAATAACAGAAAAGACGGTGTAGAACGGGCTAACTCGGGGCCACATAGTTTTAGGATGATAGGTGGAATACCATCCGGACCGGGTGGTTTACAAACATCCAAGCCACGAAGAGTTT